TATTTCTTTGTTTTGGGGGAGGGGGGGGGGGGGTGTGCATCAGAGGCTGGTAAGTTAGAAGGAGCCTATGCCAGGAATTGGCTAGGTTGGCACTGGGATTGGTGGCCAGCACCATTTATCTAGTAATCAGAATTATTACAGATGCACTGTAGCATGAGGAGTACTGGAAAGCAGCAGCACCACCACCTAGCAGGAACAGTATGTATTCTTAATTTTGAAAATCTATGCTCCGTCACGGACAAAAAGGCATCTACAGAGTGGATGTTGCCATGGTGTTTGGAAGGCACCTGTGAGCCAAGCCTTTTTTATTTGGAAACAATTCATGCAGTGACCATTGGAGGACCATCTCCTCAATGGCTCCATCTATTGGCAGTATAGTAATTTCCTATCCTCCTCGGCTCCATCTATTGGCAGTATAGGAAATTACTATCCTCCCTGGCTCCATCTATTGGCAGTATAGGAAAATACTATCCTCCCCGGCTCCATCTATTGCCAGTATAGGAAAATACTATCCTCCCTGGCTCCATCTATTGACAGTATAGGAAATTACTATCCTCCCCAGATCCATCTATTGGCAGTATAGGAAATTACTATCCTCCTCGACTCCATCTATTGGCAGTATAGGAAATTCCTATCCTCCCGGCTCCATCTATTGGCAGTATAGGAAATTACTATCCTCCCTGGCTCCATCTATTGGCAGTATAGGAAATTACTATCCTCCCCGGCTCCATCTATTGCCAGTATAGGAAATTACTATCCTCCCTGGCTCCATCTATTGCCAGTATAGGAAATTACTATCCTCCCCGGCTCCATCTATTGGCAGTATAGGAAATTACTATCCTCCCCAGATCCATCTATTGCCAGTATAGGAAATTACTATCCTCCCTGGCTCCATCTATTGGCAGTATAGGAAATTCCTATCCTCCCTGGCTCCATCTATTGCCAGTATAGGAAATTCCTATCCTCCCCAGATCCATCTATTGGCAGTATAGGAAATTCCTATCCTCCCCGGCTCCATCTATTGGCCGTATAGGAAATTCCTATCCTCCCCGGCTCCATCTATTGGCAGTATAGGAAATTCCTATCCTCCCCGGCTCCATCTATTGGCAGTATAGGAAATTCCTATCCTCTCCAGCTCCATCTATTGGCAGTATAGGAAATTCCTATCCTCTCCAGCTCCATCTATTGGCAGTATAGGAAGTCCCTATCCTCTCCAGCTCCAGCTATTGGCAGTATAGGAAATTCCTATCCTCCCTGGCTCCATCTATTGGCAGTATAGGAAGTCCCTATCCTCTCCAGCTCCATCTATTGGCAGCATAGGAAATTCCTATCCTCCCTGGCTCCATCTATTGGCAGTATAGGAAGGCACTATCCTCCCCGGCTCCATCTATTGGCAGTATAGGAAGTCCCTATC